TTCCTTCACTTTTTTGACACATTAAATTTGCTTTTGAAGAAAAAACCAACATTTAATTGAAAATTGCAGGTAGATCACGATAATGCTTTTAAAACGTCACGTCTGTTGTATCAAATTATTTCAAATATTGATAAAATGTGTACTTTTTCTGTTAAGCTATTAGTCTAATATAAAATAGGGAAACAAAAGTCCAAAATTGAAAATGTTGCTGGCTCAGCCATATTTTAAATTATAGCTTTTACCATTTGCATGTCTTTAAATGGTATTTGATTTATTAATATAAATTAATGAATAAGTGCTTGAATTTTTCAAGTATGTTTTTGATGGGGTATTTAACTTTCCTACGATATTGTAGAAATATTCTGAAATACCATGACGTAAAAAGCCACCAATAACACAAGGGAACTAAGAAACACTGATACACCAATTGATCATAATGCATTAAGAATGATGTGTTTTCGATTGAACGTCTTGATAACGCATCCTAAATGCGTCAACATGTGGCACAGACGACCATAATAACCAAGCTTTAAACGATTCTCAGCTATCAAGAACCTCAGTTTGTTCTAGACTGTAAAATTAATGTGACCTTATTATGTTCTAATCAAGATTTTTATTTGTTTAAGTCTACTGAAAACAAAACATCAAAGTCAGTCCAGAAAATAATACGTGATTATTCAGAAATAGTATAGATATTTCACATGAAAGATATACATTTCAGGGAAAACCTGTGCAAGAATTAGTAGCTGATAAGTTTGAACTATCATCGTGACATGAATGAGAATGGCGTATAGTATTTCCTTATCTTTTACCAACAAATTGTGCTTTATTTTTTTGTAATATTTGGTTTCAAATTGGTAATAGAAGCAATATTTAAGGTCAATGAATAGCACGTTATTAATTGTATTATATATTGTGAAAGGCGATAATTTAACGATTTAATGCTTCAGAACTTTTTTTCAATAATCGTAAAATTGAATTATTGATTGAATCGGAATTGAGTAAAGTTTACTTGTTCTTCACGAATTGTTGTATATGTTAAAATGATTATAGTCTGTCCCATCAAATTTGAACATTCCATTTTTTATTTAATATAATATTAAAATCATTTAAATTAATGTCATGTTAACCCTGATTAATAACTCTAGGCATGTTTTTCATTTTGTTAATAAAGTCAGTAATATGGTCAAAATGTTAAAATTATATTTTTTTCACGTTGACTTACGTGGTAACCTGACGTGACGTCCATTTCAAAATGGCGGCGCCCATATAGACGTCATGTAGGATTAGTCTCACAATTAGCGGGAAATGTAGTCGGTAATTATAAAAAAAAATATTATTATTATTTACTTATTGATCAATAGCTTATTGTACCATTAAAATGAAAAATGACAACAAAGTTGGTGTCAAATAGGCAATTTTACTAGCAAACCATTATCTAAAATAATCAAAATTATTTGAAGTGAAAATATCAGTAACCGCTTTATAAATTCTAACACACAAAGATTTAATTAATTACCATGATATACAGTCGTATTATATATTTTTAAAGAGAAAAAGAACAATGAAGTGATTTGATTAGATTGCTTTTCAATCAAGCGCGTATCTTGAATACAGCAACGCGTCCTAGAGGAGCGGGAACGCTAGTCAGAAGACTTAAAATGGTACTTCAATAATTAATGTTTAATTTACATAATTCTGTAGTTGTCTAAACTCTGTCCATAAGTGTGTATCACGTCTATTCAAAAATAATTAAATTGACCAGGTTCGATGGGATACAAAAATATGTTACCCTTCTTATTTCGGGTGCGATGTTCGTGCGCTAAAACTTTCCTTAGGTTTCAACTTTCACAAGAAATAATATCATGCTTTCTAGTTTAAGCAATTAAACGTAGCCTATGCACTTTAAGCTCGTAAATACAGATTCAATTTTCTGTCTCACAATTCAACAAAATGTCCAAAAATACCGGCAGTGATTTGATATTATTAAGAATAAGTTTGATTTGGAGTGTTCAATAAGCGACAATAAGTGTTTTTTGTAGACTCAAAGTGTTATATGTCGTATAATTATTATGCTAATACGAAGAGGAGATCGAGTCAAAGAGAAACGACGTTCTCAATAATTTTAGCCTTCCTAACATTTGAAAATATTCAGTGAAAAAACCATATATCTAGTATATTTTTCGCGGGAGAAAAAATACGCGTATTATAATTTGTAGCTAAAAGAGTAGGATTTACAGAAGTCTTGCATAACGAGATAATATGTACACATGATGTAGGGAAATTATTTCTGAGAAATATATAAAATAGTTTAAAAACATATATGTAATTAATGGAAGACGCATTGTACATACTGTTGTCAGGAATCCATTTTCAAGAGTTATATGCATTGTGATGTTGACAACTTAAATTGATGGGCTGTTCTTGAATTATGGGTTTGGGACATGCTGAATTATGATGTTTTTCATTTACATATTTCATTTGCTAACCCAGATAACTCCATAAATTGAACAATGTTTTAAGTGTAGGAGTCATGTCATTCAGGAGTTTAAAGTAAAAAAATGGTGTCTACGGAACTGGATAGAAACTGATAACAAATGCGAATTTGTCGTGACATTTATAAAGATCTATTTCGAAATTCATAGGGATTCTATTCAGCTTAAAAGTAAGTGCAATTTCTAAATCTACTCCATGTGACTCGGTGTTCTTGTTGCTTATTTTTCATTTTTAAAGTTTTCCATCATGCATTGCAACTAAACTGTTACATCTTGTAGATTCAGCTTTGTAAAATAATCATGAAACAACCCCCAGAACCTCAAGTATATTTTAGAAACATGACACGTGCTTTCTCCCGTTCATCTTCAAATGAAGAGTACTTCGACAATGGCTACGGAAAATAAACAACAGAGATTTACCATAGAGAAATCAAAATTTGCTTTCACAAGAAAAGTAGACACTTTAGAGTAAAATCCTGAAAAATCTCGAGGGTCACTTTTTTAGTTTACAAAAATGATTAAATTTGTATTCAACCCCGTTTTGTTAATTCAAACCAGGCAATAGTTCAATTCCATTTTTAATGGGACAGACTATGATAAACCAGTGTGTTCTCTTAACCGTATCAAACACGGAGGTATAACACGTAAACCATTCAACTTATGTTCCTGTTAAACAACCTATGTTACACAGGTTTGTTAAATATATTATCGTGTTTATAGGGTATAAATTCAGGAAGTTTTAAGAAATAATTTTTATTTATTCTGTTTGTAGGTGAGAATATTTATTACTTTATATGCAAAACTAATTCAAGCTTAAGTATGTGATATAAAGTTACAATGTATGACATATGTATTTATATACACAATTTATGACGGGTCGCTTATGCTTTTTTTTCATTTTACTTCCTTATTAGTTTACGTCAACAATGTCATTTAAAAATGTCAAAATAAAAAGTGAAATCATGTAAGATTAATTACATACACCCTTAATTAATATTATACAATGAATAAAGAAATGGTTTTATAGTCAATGGGTTGAAAAAAATTGTTTTAATAAACTTAAGTTTATCGAGCATGCCATTTTAGAAATTTATTTTGTTTATTTTGAATTAATACCCATTCCCGTAACGTAACCATGGTAAAAATGTCCTTTGTTAAACTATATGAAGTTGTAAAGACAAAGTGAATATTGTTTTATATGTAATATTAGATACTTAATTATAAATGGACTAATAATTAAAAGCAACTTATTACATAAAATATGTTATGTTTCTTTTTGTTTATTCATATTCAAACATAATGAGGCGTTTGTCTTGAATCCATAACTTGCATACACTAATATAACAGTAAAATGAATATTATTTCTTTATGTTCAGTAATAATAAACAAAACATGGTATTAAAACATAAAACTGTTTCATTGACTCTTTAGAATTGAACACATTTTGTATTTGTTTGTATTTTTAAAAATATCCCTGTTAAATAGTAACAATCATACATTTTTAAATTTGAATTTCAAAATATCAAAATTGCGTGCAAGTGGCTAGCCAAATCAGTAAAAATGTTCAGCATAATTATATAAATCGAAAGAAGTTCTATTATAATTGAAGAAAAAATATTCATTATTATTATCTATTTTGTGTTTTCTCTGTCATCACAAATGTTTATACTACATGACTCATTATGTACACATTTAGATGGCTCTCCATATTAATTCAATTAACTTCAAAGTGTTAGCAATACAGCTAGTTGTTGAATAGCATCGACTACACGCATTTATATGCTTGACAGACCATTTAGTAAATGTGAGTTAATTTTGCATGTAACATTGCAGAAGATATTTTTGAAAGTGATCTTCCAAGCAAGCAAACAAATTTTAAAATTATTACACTCATTTATAATGTAGGAAAAATCACGATAATTATGTACTTTTATGAACTTGGAAATGAAGGCAAATATCCAAGTGAATAAGACTTCAATGTATAAGAATAGGAATCATTACTTGAACAATCAAACTAGTTTTGAATGACGATATTAGTTATCAGTATTGTTCTACTTTATAAGCGCAATAGTCTTCATGACATAATGTATCATCCTTAAGCAATTTGTTTGGTCAAAACCTACATAAAAATGTGACAATTTCATGTACAAAGAAGAATGTTTAATTTCAATTACATACATTTCATCATTCGGATTTGTGGAAATATCATTTGAGGTATGAATGTAGAAACACATGTTCTCTATAATTTATTTCTTAATACAAATAAAGCATTTGTGAAACAAGATGAACATTGCATGAGCCGCATTTACTGAACTTTGCAAAGCAAATAAATGCACATTTATTTAAATTTCACCATGATCACTTTTGAATCCATAGTGTCGTTTTTTAAGAAATCAAATTAAAAGGTGAGTTACAATAAATCAAATACGATGTTTAGTATCATTTTAATTGTTTTTAATAGCAAACTAAATGATTAAGAATACCAATTATCTACTTCAGAAAAAAATGGTCATCAACGTAGAAAATCGACATCGAACGTTCGTGTTTGCCATAAGTGCTACAGCTCTCGTCGGCATTGTGTTTGGGGGTAAGTTTGTAGGTTAGTAAATGAGACACAAACATCTTGATAATATACAATCCTGCTAAAAAGTCAAAATCTGTGGACATATAACATAAAGTCTGTAAAATTAGTTACCGATATTTTCTCCGCTCTTAGAATTTAATGTGACATTATTTAATGACTAACACCATCTTCATAGTTTACACAGTTAACGAAAACGTCTGATGAATGTTTAAAAATTAAAGCATTCTATTGCTCATCATTATTTAAAATTAAGAAATTGACACAGTATGAAATAAAGAACACCAAATAAATATCTGATTACGAAACGAAAAAATTATGCTATCTAAAAATTCAAAATATTTGCCTACATTTTGTGGTAACCATTTTTTTCTAAATTGAAAGAATATTGATTGAAATATAATTATTTTTGTTTATCTTAGGACTCTGTACATAAAATAGAATGAGAGACTTAGTTGAAATCCGTAATTGCTATTTTTTTAAAATTGTTTTCTAAGTTTTTAAATCTTACTTTACTGTATAATGTATCAGATGTAAAACCAGTTCTACAGATTTCACAGACGGAAGTGTGGGAATTTGGTAACGTGACGTTGAGATGTTCTTGTCCAAAGTACAGTACATTTGGTATAGCGACCTTTTACAGGGGCAATCCTTTATACGAGTATAAATACACGTATCTTGACATGATTTTGTTTTCTAACAAAACATGTGCGATAAGTCAGACACATAGCTTTCTTGAAGATTTTAAGTGTCTTGATAATATTACTTTTGAAATCACGATAAGTCTACGACGACAAGAAAACTGGACATGCAGCTGTGGACTTGATGTTAATACAAAAAGTGATCCAGCAGTTATTTATGTGAATGGTGAGATGATTCTAGTTTCATTTTAAATTAAGTTTGAAATTAAAGTTCATCATAGCTATGACCAATTAGTGCAATGTATAAGAGATATTTGTATAGGAATATTTTGTCCGTAAATTCGTATTCTATTTTGACAAGTTTATTTTTGTTTGTGAATATCTTTTATTTAATTGCTTTTATTAAAATTTATTTTTTTATATTGAAAGGTACTTCTTAGACTTTTATTAGCAAACGATGCAAATGAATTTAACAATTATACCAAAATAGCGCGTTGCTTGATCTGATGTTATAAGTACATTGATTGTTTCCATGTTTTTAATATTTATGTGCTTAGACGAAAAATATGAATTTTTTTAATTTACCGATATATATTAAACGTCGCTGACGCTTCAACGTAGCTGTTGAATGTTTGTCAGTTAATGTTTACAAACAACGATGGGTTCTCAAGATATGATTATTCGCTCAAATGTTAGATATTTTATAGAAAAATTTACCACAATTTAAAAAGATACCAATGTGGATCAACATTTAAAGTATTCACATTTTACAAATTAGCCTATTAAACTGTCATATATTAAAAAGTCAGTTATCGATTTTTGAGATATATAGATAAATATTTAAAGTAAATGTTAGTCAGTGGACAGTATAACGTCAGACTATACTGATTTGCCGGCTGGACTGGTGCTTGATTGACAGGTAAATTGTTTCGAAAAGAGTAGAGTAATCCTGAAAGTCATTTTGTTCCATCAAGTACGGATTGTTACATCATTTGAAAGAAATGATGCCAACTGAAAAAAAGGCATGATGTCATAACAAAAAAATATGACAATGCTTATTATGTTTTTTGATAAATGACATTCTCTAAGATATTTATATTCATATTAATTTACATTGTACAATAAGTGATACATTCCTTTTTACATTTACTGTTCAGTTACTTAGATAATATGGTATTAAATGTTAGCAAATATGACCTTCATTTTCTTTCAAATCTAAATATTTATGTTAACAGTTTCAGTTATGTTTAAGAACATAAAGATGCAAAGTAAAAAAACAAACGATTTATTAATAAAAGTGAACACATGTTGTAAATTGTACTGGTATAAAACTGTATTTTAGGCTTACTACTACACTATAATCTCACTAATGATAAGTACAAACTTTTAAGAAAAATTATATATAAAATTCTCGTAATATCGATTCTTATATACTGATACAATTTGTATTGCTATCACTGTCTTAATGTACCAAATATTGCTTCTCAGTTCCCGTTGAAAACATAAATCTGAAGATGGACACTTATAATATAGCTGAGGATATAACAATACAAATACTTAATAGTTCCAATATTACTCTGGAGTGTTCATCGTGTGCAAGACCTGAACCAAACATAACATGGAACATACCAGCATACAGCACTGAAATTATTTTAAACTCGACCACTTCCATAAATGGTCTTTTCTGTTCACATTCAATGTTGTATTATAAGCCAACATTAGAAAGTCAGGATCAGCAAATATATTGCACAGCCAGTAACAAAAATAACGAGCAGCATATTTCCCCGAGAATTACCACCGATGTTTTATGTAAGTTTTTTTATACTCAATAGCGTTTTATTTGAAACGATCATAATATGGAATGACCAAACAACTGAATGTATTAAAAACGTTTAACATAGTGTATCTGATCACCTTGATAAAACTGTTATTCGTCTAGATTCTATATTAAAACGTAAATTCTTACTTGTCGTCAACCACACTGACTTTTGAAAAAGTACCTATTGTACACTAAGATATGCTAGATAGATTGAAATATACAGGGATAAATCTTAAGTAAATAAAAAACATACAAGCAAAAACATCAGCAGTCTGATCATAATTGCATGTTTTGAATGTTCAAAATTTTAAACGGAAGTGCTTATTACGTTTTTACCGGACAAATAAGAACAAATATTTCATTGTCATATCTGTTTATTAAGTCGACATGACTTGATGGAATAGTACAGTTTACATGAATGTTCAGAACAACATACATTTGTATTCCACTTCCTTCTTTAAACTGTTTCATCTGTTTTTAAAACGATAACAATGGCTTTTTTTTCAGATCCAGCTGTTGTTAATCCTATACACGATATAAGCATTGCCGAAGGATCGCAACTTGAAACGTTTTGTCCCGTAATAAATGGAAATCCTTCCGACTCAACAGTTTTATGGTCCAGGCTAAATGACGAACATCGATGGAACAGTAGATTGTTGTTAATCAAGAATGTTTCTAGAACAGACGATACCGACTACACTTGTAGTGTTATAACACACATGTTTCCTACGATTGGTAGTTCTTTAAAAGTTGAAAGCAAAACCTCATTTCACCTGAACGTTTTCTGTAAGATATCGTTTTCACATCTTTATGATTATACAATAAGTTGTTTGTAATGAAACACAGTTCAAGTTCGATTTTCGCTGCAATTAACTCATTATTGATAGAGTTATGCACCCATTATAATAGAATTTTATGTAAAGTTATTGATTCCCAAAGGAAAACTTTTGAATTTAATGGTGTTTATAAGCCTGTTAGTATGTTATGTCGAAACACCGGTCAAGTTCGATTTTTGTTGCAATTATTTTTATAATTATTTTTATAATTAATAGAGCAAATGCAGCATTTAACCAAAGTTTCTGTTAAATATCTTTATTATAATATCGTCAATATTATATATTTAATCTTTTATTTTACTTACAGTCTCGTCAGAGATAAAAACGTTTTCAGTGTCAAAAATAAATATTTTTAAGAGAACTTTTGTGATAAACGAACGGGAAAATGCATCTTTTGAGTGCATTGCTGAAGCTAATCCGCCGTCGGACTTGACTATTGAGAATCAAAGGGGTGATATCATTTTAATGGTACCAAAATCAAATATTGCTCGCAATACCTTGCATAATGCGTCATATGTAGATGCCGGGGAATATATTTGTACCGGGTGGAACAACTACACACGAGGCTTACCAACAAAGTCGATGCTGACTCTTATCGTAAGAAGTATGATGTCAAACGAAATTTATTCAAAATATTTATGTTAAATGACATGACAAGCATTTATAGCTCATTAAGTTTTATTAATTCTTATTTTAACTTTAACACAATGTATTATGTATTAAAACGATAAAAATGGAAGCTATTTCGAAAATCTTTATCTTAAGCTTGTACGTTTTAGTCGTATGTATAAAAGACATCTATTAAGTGAAATGGGACTAACAAATTTGTCATTGATTTCTCAGCTAAACCCAAACCGTCTTCTGGCGACACAAGTGTTACGAAGGTGGCAACAGATATGCACGTAGATGTTACATTAATATTTACAACTTGGAATTATCTTGATAATCCAAATAAAACAGTGTTTAACTGGTTTAAAGGCAATATATCTTTATCTGATGATGACAGTAAATACACAGTACATTCAAATGAACTACAAACAAATCTTACAATAAGAAACACAACGAAACAAGATTTAGAGATTTATAAAGTAAATGTCCAAAACTCATTTGGAATTTATAGTCACTATTATGAATTGAAATCCAAAGGTAAAGTACATTTTTATCATTGATTGATATCTTAAGAATAATGATTTATCAGTAATGAAATGACAACATTTAAATTAATCCTTTAAGAATTGATTTTAATTCATAAATAGTTTATATATATATATCTGTAGGAAAACAATAAATTCAAGTTCTTTGAATATTATGTTTATTGCTGAATTTAGTCGTACAAAACGCACACATCAGTAAAGATTATACATAATTCTTGTTACGTGAATAATTATTATATAATTACTTATTTTTTCAAGTTTTATAAGCACTTTTTGTACAGATAAGCCTGACCCACCGATTGACTTTAAAGTCCTTAACGACTCAATAACAGCCACGTCGGTCACATTAGCATGGGGCCCTGGTTTTAATGGAGGAGCCACACAAGCATTTGTGATTATGTTCAGAATGAAGCACACAAATATATGGCGTAACAAATCTGTCGAAGACAATGGTGCAAAACAAATGAATTATACCTTACATGATCTGAACAGCTCGCAAGAATATGAAATTGAGATGTTTGCGGAGAACATAAACGGAGATTCAACCGGTACAGAACGTATCCTGTTTAAAACTAAAGGTAAATGAGTTATATATTAATTAGAAAATAACAGTAAATGTTGTCTTTAAAATTTAATTTTACTGACACGCGTTTGTTCACATAGGCATGCACACACACGCATATGAACACGTATACATACACGTATGCAAGCACACAGGCGTTCGCACGCATGTACGGCCACCACTCGAATTCGCTTACACATGAAATTATTACGGAAAAAACCTTGAAGTGTCCAGGAATACTAGGGGTGTTGACCTTTACTTTTCAGTACCGCCTATGAACCGAGTATGCAACATTTTATATTTGGCGTTTTGGACGTACCATTGGATTCCGTATTTCTTTTTTTTGTTCGGACGAAGTCCGTCTGTTATCAATTTGACTTCTTGTAAAGATAACAGGGAAGGACTGAATAAAAGAAGAATTTTCATTGGTCATTTTAAAATTACAAAAGGATATCGGTGAATCTTATTGGTCATTCTAAAATAAAGTGAAAGGGACAGTTCTAACCATTCTAAAATGAGGTGTGAGGGGTAGTTCTTAAAGTTCCTAGATGAAATTTTAATGATAGCTCTATGATAAGGGATAGTTTTGCCACAATCAAATAAAATGCAGAAGATGGTTCTAAAATAAAATGCAGGAATGAGGATATATTTTAAATTTTTATGTTAATTTGTTAATGATTACAAAATTTATAAAGTCAAACGTAAAACAAGTAAAAGGGACACCTTAAATAGAAGTTGTTATTCTTTGACAAATCATCAATATTAGTATTCTATAATTTAATTCCAATGTTTACAAAATTGATATTTTCTTTACAGCTACTAGAAATAATTGTCATGTCATTGTTTTGCAAGCGTTGCTGGCATTTCTTTTTGTATTGAAAACTTAGAAATAACATAATTTTCATGTTAAACAGAATTTCTTCGGTAGAGTATCGTTTTAAAAGGTATTCTTGTTATATATATTTATATAAAATAATCATCTTACCAATCATCATTTTTGTAATGCATGTAGTACAAACAATTTAAAAAAAAATATTTTAAGAAACAGTAATATTCTAATATTATGATTAGGCTCTTCTTTTTAAGGAATTGTTAATCTTTGATTTCAGCCGCACTTACAAGTCAAGTTAAACCGCAGTTGGATGACAGTAGTGGTATATTAGCAGGAAGTGTATCCTCTGTTATTCTCGTTGCTGTAATAGTTGGTTTTGTTTTCTTCTTTCACAAAAGGTAAAAGTTTATGTTTATTTATCAATGTTTTTGACAAGTCTGCAAAACTGCTGATGCAAAAGAAGCAGTTTTTAAAATATAAATATAGTACAAGTGGTTTTATGATGGTTTTGTTTAATGTCTGACTTAAATAGAAAATGTTGTCAATAACATATCTTAGTATTGATGAGGTTGTAAATATTTCCGTTTGATTATGAGCTGTATTAGGTCAATTAGTGAAAGGTTTAGGTAATCGATATACTCACCACAAGAAATGTGGCCAATACTTCCTAAAAAAAACCCATCAAAACAAAACAAAACACATTATTATTAGCATACACAAGTTTGAGTTAGAATAACAGAGGAGGTCGAACATAAACACTAACAAATGGTTCAAGAAGTCTAAGTTACATGACTATGCGGTTGCTTGTATTGAGTATACATATCAATCTTAAAAATTATCGTTTGTTTTTACTGTTTATTGTTGCATTGAAAAAAATTAATGCAAGCTGATTGACACACTGGGTTGACCTTGAAGAGTAAAATAAGAACACAAAAATAACATTTTTTGGTGATGTGTAAATGGACAATTTCAAGCGTAATGGCGTGCATTTCTACTTTATTTTACCGTGTGCTCGTTAAAAATATTAAGATTTTAATCTCACTCATTTTGGATATGATTCCTTCATAATACTTAGCTACTTTTCACAGTAACTTGTTCATATAGGAAACTACCGGCCTCTCGTCAGCTTGCTTTCATGAAATGTTGAGGAAAGGTATATTAAGATGTTTTTACTTGCTGTTTTAATTTCGATATCTTTAAATTAATTATGTATGTTTCATATCATTTCAGGAACTGGAGGTGTTCCCGCTTCAAATGTCTTAAATCAGGTAATTAACTTAAGTAAATTTTAGTTACCTGTATAATCAACATCTTCCTGTTTTTTCAACTGATGACATGCTTGCAATTACTGTTAAAATTGTCTTTTTTTATTGTGACTATTGTTATTGTAAAACCCACATGAAAAGTTTCTATTTATCATTATAGACCTGCATTTGTTAATAATAATCCAATTTTTCTTAAATTATTAGCTATTTACTAGCTTCGCTTATTTTTGTTCCTTCCTTAAATGTTTATTTAAACATTTGCAATATTTATTTAAACAATGATTTTTGCATTTTATCGATTTTGTAGATATCATCGAGAGCCCAGTCGCACCCGAGTATATAGATTTGGACGAGAGCAGGCGAGAAATAAATATTTATAATAATTTTGATGTACCATCTGTGAGCACATATGAACAGCTGGATACTGCAGCACAAGGATCAACTACATACACGGAGTTAAAAGATAGAATGACACTCAATACTGAAACTTCTGACTACGTAAACGTTAGAATATAAGACATTAATTAATAACGATTAATGAAAAGTCACAAAAAACATCATATGTTTTCACATGAAACATCATTTAACGATTGCAAAATCGAATTCAGGATGACGGAAATATGACATCATTAAAATGCTAAATAACTAGTAGATATGGTAATCAAGCTTATATACAAGGGATTTAATTTATTTTTGATAATTTTACATCTATTCATAAGGAAGATAAAGGTATCTGAATATTGTTACAGACAATAAATAATTTAATTTATTTACAGATGTGTTAACATTCAGGAAGAGACTAGGAATTTCGGAAAACTTGGAACTTTTGAAAGGCTGTCTTACGAACGCTGGGTTGTTTACTTATCTTTGATGGCTGATGGCTGTCATTTCTTTTACACATTGCATTACAGTTATTGCTCGTAGGATACTTAAACTTTCCCGGATGCCATCAACAGAGCAGTTTTGTATGTAGAAGGAAGTGTCATTTTCAGAAGTTTTTTTTTTAAATTACGTTCAATGTTTGAAATGAAAGTTATTTATAAATATCAGCTTTGATTTGTTCTAAACAGCACTGATGATGTTTGAATTGTAAGCAAATTAAAATCGTGGTACCACATGTGGAAAATCTTTAAATAGTTGTCTCTTCATTGAAAAGTGTGAAATTATATTTTGATAATTTTCACTTTGAAATTATCAAAATTAACATATTTTTACGGATAAATCAGTAATCTTTTCAAAAGCATTAAATAAATTGTCTTATTGATTGCATAAAATTGTAGTCACACTCGTATATATTGCATTAAATTGAAGACAAACTGTTGTTTATTTTATAAAGTCGTATTCAATCCATTGTTGATTGTATAGAATTGTAGTTGCATGTTGGTGATTGTATAATAAACGTTGTATTCGAAATCTCGTTGATTGGTCTAAGTTGTATTCACACTCTTGTTGATTGTGTAAAGTTTTATTCACACTCACGTTGAATGTATAAAGTGTCAATCGCACCCTGTTTATAACTGAATTTAATCATTTTAATGACAGTTAATTTCAAGAACAAAATTTCTTAATTTGAGAAACGCATATATATATAACAGTTAAGCTTTTTCAAATATTTTACTGAATTTATTTTTCTACATTATATATAGAATTGGCACAAGTGTGCACTAACGAAACACCCGTCTAGAACCATTCCAATCTGTTTATATTACAAATTGTTCTGCTTGTACAAATTAGAGACAGATGTCAGATGTATCCGAAGGTGCCTCATATGTATCCTGTACTTCCACAAACATGAAATGTTATCTTCATTCGCTGAAATAAAATATTATAAACTGCTGTAAGAACTTTACAAAAAATTTAAATAAACAGACAACACAATTACCAGGTTGTAGGTTTTGTTGTGAAACTTTTATAAACGTTTCCTTAAATATAAATATACGTTGTATAAGAGCTTCGAGTGCATTGATATAGAATAATGCACGTCTTCCTATTTCATTTCTATTAAAATCTTCGAAAATGTTTTAAATAAATTTGTTTCACATTTGATAGTGACAAACATTACAAATGATAAAGTAATAAAGTAAATTTTGATTACGATAGGGTATAAAGTCGGGCACTTTCATTGCTTTAATTCGACTCTTTATCGAAATTAATTGTTTTGTACAGAGTATTAAATAATGCATAAAAATCATTATTCAGTATCAAACATCGACATCTAAATTTTTCAAAACACTAGGTACATGTTCATACATGTAACAACTCGAATAGAGTCGACATTGATTGTACGTTGAGAAATGATTTGACGGAAAAATCTGTCTCTTCTAGCAAACTCAATTCCAAAATAAGCAGTGTTTTAAAGTTAAATTGATGCAACATTGTAAGGTCTGAATTGAAAAATACATCCTCATTTTATCTAGAATTAAGTCCTTGTTAGTTTCGATTTGCATATCGTAAATTTATCAAAAGTGCTTTTTGGCAACATTTTACGAGAGGTTACTGTTTTCCTTCATGATGCACATTGTTACAATTCCATTTACATTTGTAACGTATAGTAACAACAAAAGAAACAACAACAACAACAAAAAACAACAATATACAAACAACAACAAGAACATAAACCAACAATATACAAATAAAAACAACAACAACAATAATAACAACAACAACAACAACAACAACAACAACAGCAGCAAAAAGACAAATTTTCATCTCTGTTTTCCTCAGTTTTCGTTCTTCTTAAAACTTAGTAAGATTTATCTGTGCAGGTGCAATAAGAAATTCGTTCTGAACACGTCTGACAAAATTCACGCCACACGAATGTTGTTATTAAATAATTGCCTCAGATTAATATACTAAGGGTTTCAACCAATGGCTTTACATGTATCTGAATGTAAATTAACTAATGAATGTGACATTTATATTGGAACGTCAGCACTTGAAAGCTCTTAAAATTCCACATACCTTTTGCACATAATACGTCCCAGCCTATTTGCACATCTATACCCTCTATAAAAGAAGGAACACTTCTCTTTATCTCTTTATGGAACGAATAAAAATAATAGAGTATAAACATGATGAGGTATATTAGTCTATCAGGTATGTCAAAGAAATGTGGAAATTTAATGTACTTTATATTAGTGCACACACAAGTAAATAGGTCATTATACTTAAACCACTTAATAATAATATTATTGACAAATGATGTTGAGCGTTTAACTAAAACGTCAACAAGAAAAAATACAAAGCATTAGGATAGAATTTCTGTACTCCCGGAAGCTGGATAATGAATGAAGATTCATTGGGGATGTTCTTTCCGAGTTTTGCTAAAAGAGTATGGGGATAATATTTCGCATGACATGTTCGCATATCGGTGCACTCTTGTTCTGTATAACAAGCGGCAAACGATCAGTCATTTTAGAATGTTCCTTCATAACATTCTTTACTAGTAGACTAATATTCTCATACCAACTAGTCTTGAAATGTTTGTTGGGTAATAATTCCAAATTTAACCAATACAGGAGATCGAGTAATTGTTATTTATGAAAGCAACGTCTGAAATCCCTTATGCACACGAAAAATAATCATCTGAAAAAAGCTAAACTTAGACGATCATAACTTTAGATGCTTGTAGTTTTCTGCCGCCACCGCATCAAAATTATGACTTTTATCTGGTATCTATTATTAGTAAAATATAAAATAATGCTTAATATGTATTATTATGTCATGCTGAAAAAGTGAGATACTGTGTTTACATCGTTTGATTAAATCCATATCACCAACATAATGTGGTGATATAGCTCTACGTTAACTTTGAATTTTAAGTATATAGTAAATTTGTAAACCTTATTAAAGCTCATTGTTGCTTTAAGGTTTTAATGGCATATTTCCTGATTAAGACATCAATATTTGCTTTAAAGTTTTAACAGTGACTCTGCATTTATGACTACAAACTTTTCACTCTTATATGTATCCGTTGAACGCCTGACGTCATCTTTACGTGTGTCGTGTTCCCGTACTAAAATAAAAACAATATTTCTTTTAATATCATACTTTTACTCGCGCTACGCATGTTAAAAATATATTAATTTTCTCACTTCACAAATTTGATACATAGCATATTCACACAAAACAAACAAATAAAATAATGCTTCATTGGCTATGATATATGTGAATGAATGAGGCATTTTTAATATTTCTTTAATATTTATGTTCCATTGCTATATTACTCATTTATTCAACTGTATTTTTACACATAAACCAAACGACTAAAGTTTAATGACATTTAAGAAACCTTTTTATTACTTAAATACTTTAAAATGCAAAATAAGACTACAAAAGGCAGTTGGTCTCAGGATGATATCAAAACTGATACAAAAGCATTGTTTTATGATGCCATCCACACACAAGATCAAAAGTTAGTTTAGTCATTTATTAGAATTATTTTTGTAATCATATGACAATGTCTTGATCCCTTTTGCCACTCTTCACATTAATAAATCTATTTCAAGAATGTCTAGACTGCAATTAAAGCTAAATCTTATCTGTTCGGAAAAACTGGCAGCACCTTTCCCTTGTCTATGTTATAACTAATGTCTATCTTTACAGAGCGTGACAAGGAAGTGTCCTTTGTCACATGTTGTTTTCGTAGCCTCATACCACTCAGAGAACAAAGAACATGCTTATTAACTTGGTGTAATTAGAGTAATAATTATTACAAAAATCTAATTATAATTTTAAATAAAAGCAACATGTAGTTGGAAAGTCCTTTTGGCTTTGAATACTGACGATTTAGATCATTCATACGTAAAGAAAAGAAATATCTTATAAAGACCCTTGTGTGTATGGGTTATGTCAGTCGGACAATAGAGAAGAAAATATCCACGATAAAATCAATATAAATGTGTCGAATTTTGATGTTTGTAGTACATGGAAGTCAGGTTTGCTCGCTCGCTCCCTCGCTTGCACGCCCCTGCTCTCCCACTTCCACACTCACTCGCACACTATCTCACCGCGAAACATACACACACAGTAACTTAAACAAGATACTGGCTATCATTATAAAGCATTTATCATTTATTGCAAGGAATATTGCTTAAGGTATCACTGAAAATAAGAATATATTTCATTTGTGTTTAATATCTCTTAAGGTATCATTAGACAAATCTATTTTATTTGTATGTGTTGTTTACTGTTTCCTTAGTTCTAGTTCAAACAATGTTGGCAGACATATTGCTCGATGTATTTCTTCATTTAATAATGTGTTAAATACAAGAAAGCGTCTGTTATTTAAAATATCAAAATGCGTAAAATATAATTATTTTCGTAGTAAAAGCAACGCGAATTGTATTTACAAAGAATTAAAAACAATCATCTAGTTACGGTGGCATAAAAGTGACATTTGCAAATTTTTTATTTTTTTTTTGTTTTTGAAACTTTTTTTTTCACACATTTTTTTATTTTTTTTTTTTTTTTGAAACTTTTTTTTGTTTTTTCGCACATTTTTTATTTTTTTTTGTTTTTGAAACTTTTTTTGTTTTTTGTTTTTCGCACATTTTCTATTTTTTTTTGTTTTTGAAACTTTTTTTTTTAGTTTTGTGTACATATTTTATTTTAGTTTTTCGTACATATTTTTAAGCCAAACAAATCAAAACAGTTACACCTTATAGAAATAGTTATCTCCCATAGTATAAATTACGCCATTTCCTTGTTCAAAAATAAATAACACACATAGTTACTTCCCTTAGTATGAATTAAGCCGTTAATGTACCTCGGTATACACGATGGGGTCTCAAATCGAGGAATTTCTACGAAAGCGAGGGGTAGACTCTTCAAGACTAGCACGAATGGCCACGGATAAGGTAACTTGGACTTTTTTTTGTTTTACGTCACACCGACACAGTATAGGTCATTCGGCGACGTTCCAGCGAAGACCTCAGGTGCCCTTCCGTGCATTATTTCAGGCACAAACGGGCAAGGTAACTTGTTCCGAGGCATATATTTTTATAGATTATTTTAATTATATATAGTAATTGTGGTAAATCTAAACTGTTGAGCCACACATAGTGATTAAAGGCAGCTACTCAGTATGTGACTTAAAAGTGCATAAATCAAATTTTGTGAACAATCTTATTATTTAAATTTTGTATAGATAGACCTGATATATAAAAGCACAGAGCAAGGATGCATGTTAGTCTTTATCATTAGACTCTTAAAGGTTTGTACACAACGTACAATCAAATGGGCAGACAGCCGTTCAACCGTCGACAGCCGTACCGGTATATATATGCTTTTATATATCAGGACTATCTATACAAAATTTAAATAATAAGATAATAAAATTTGAACATATTTGTAATATTTTAGCAGCTTACGTAATCTCATAAGTCAGTTGTACAGTTACAAAGTAAACAG